GGATGACACACATAAGTCTGAATCAGTGTGTGACGAAAGCGGTAGCTCTTGGCTTCTTGTAGGTATATCGCTATCCACCTTCTGCACAAGGCCTGGCTGGCTCCTTCATGCATTAGATTCTCTCCAGAATCTTGTATTCAGGATGTGGAAGTTCTAACTAAATAGATATGGTATAAACAGGTATTAGTTCCCCACCCCAAGTAATGCAGACATTATGTACTACTATTAGGTAGTAATAATAATTTTTTTAAAAAACAAAAAATTTTGATCACAATGAAAAATATTAATTAATTTGAACAGGATCAAGTTGCTTTTATTGTTCTCTCTTTTTAAAATTCTTTTAGTTTATTTTTCTTTGTGGTACTGGGGATTGAGAACACCTTAAGCAAGTGTTGTCACTGAACTACATTCCTAGTAGTGTGTGTGTCTTCTTCAGTCAGGGTTTTACTTGGCAGTTCAGGCTTGCCTTGAACTCACTTTGTAGTCTAGGCTGGTCTCGAGCTCCCAGGGATCCTCCTGTCTCAGCCTCCCAAGGGCTGGGACTACAGAGGTGTGCCGCCACACATAGCAATCCCCAGCTCTTTTTATTTTATTTTGAGACTGGGACTTGCTAAGCTGTCTAGATTGTTCTCAAAATTGTGATCTTCCTGCCTCAGCTTCCTTAGTAGATGCTAGGCATGTGCCACCCATGCAGTTTTTTTGGGTGGGGGAGGGGTTGTCTTGCTGTGTCTCCCAGGCTGGCCTTGAGTTTAGCCTCCCAACAGGTTCCTCTTTTTTGACTCTAGAATGATCTTTCTGATTCCACACTGGTGTGCCCTGCCTCCATTCTGTCTCCCGGTGCCTCTCTTTCCTTCTGTATAAATGCAAAGTCAGCTGCTCTTTGCTGAACAGCATGCGACGTTTGTCCTCATGCCTGAGCCCTGCAGACTTCCTGTTCTGGGGGGGCGGGAAGCGAGAGGTCGTCTGCCTTTGTCCTCCTTGCGTAGCACACTGTGGACTGTGCTCAGGACAGCCTGAGCTGCTCCACTGCATCACTCTCTCTCCCTTCCTGATGTCACTGGTGGTGTGTGTGTCAGAATTCTGGGAGCTAGAGCACACACACACACACACACACACGCATGCATGCACACATACACACGCACGCACACACCTGGGAGCCTCCATCCCGCAGTGGGAACAGCTTAGGTGAGCAGGATGCAGGGCCTGGTGGCTGCTGGTGTCCCTGGATGCTTCCGTACACACCGCACTCTCTTCCCTCAGGCTGAGAAACTGTTGACTCTGCAGATGGACACTGAGTTTACCCCGGCTGAGGCAAAGGCGCAAGTGGAGCTCTGTGCTCTCTAGAGGTTGTTTTTATTGTTTTCCAGGGGCATTTTACTCAGATATGTCTTCATCACTTTCATCTTTTATTTTGTTACAGAATCTCACCAATTTGCCAGGTTACCCAGGCAGGGCTTACGGTTTTGATTGTCCTGCCCCAGCCTCCCAGAATGTTGGGATGACAGGCATGTGGCACCACGTTCCTTACTAGTTTTTTGTTTTTAATCTTCTGTGGCCAAAATGATTTTTGGAATACTTCATAATAAATGCTTATTTATTTATTTTATACACAGAATCTTTTATTATGAATTATACAAAATCAAAACTCCAAACAAGTACTGCTTATGAAATCTACTATTTTGTATTTTTGTTTGTTTGTTTTTGTGGTACCGGGGATTGAACTCAGAACCTTGTGTTCACCAGGCAAGTGCTTATTCTACTGAGCTATCTCCCTGGCCCCACTGTTGTATTTTTAAATGATGTGACTATACATAATGAGCTTTTATTTTATTTAATTTATTTATTTATTTATTTAATTTATTTATTTTGCAGAATCAGGGATTGTACTCAGGTCCTTGCATTTGCCAAGCACTTATTCTACTGGGCTATCTCCCTGGCCCCTTAATGAGCTTTTAGAAAATGAGTTCACTCAAATTTTGGTCATTACATCATTTACTTGACTATAATTTCCAAGTTGTACGAACAATTACAACTAGGTTAATACTTCACAAGATTCTGATGTCTCATAAGACCTGAGTACTGATCAATTTCCATCTAAAACATCAATACAGTTTTTATCATTGAAAATACTTTATTCAAATACTTTATCATCAAATATTGAATACTTCATTTATTTCCTTAAAAAAAAGAATTGTTTTGAGTTTGAAGTAAAGAAAAAGGCCATGTTAAGATATGAACAGAAATAACTCAGGAGGTTGAGACAGGAGGATCGCAGAGAGCTCAAGACTGGCTTGGGGGCTACAAAAGTGAGCAGGAGGCCAGTCCTAACTGCACAGCGAGGTCTGCCTCAAAAAAAAAAAAAAAAAAAAAAAAAAAAAAGAAAAGAAAGAACAGAAACATTTTTCATTTACTGGGAGCTGAAATCAATATGTCCTTTATAATCCTACACCTGTCCCACTCGGCCAGCTTTTCAGGGGTGGGGTCTACCAGGCCAAGCCCTTTGCAGCCTTTGCTGCTTTTGCTTTGCTTTTCCCCTTTCTTCTCTCTCGTTTTGCCTTCAGCCTTTTTCTGTGTCTGGTTCCTCCATACTGGGTACTGTCTGTCTTTTTCATCATTATTCTCCACACATTCCATTTTCTCTTGAAAACTGTTTGGGTACCACAACAGTTGCTATCTCTTGAACATCTTTCATTAAAACATCGCAGTCTATTTTGAGAATACTTTTAAGTCTGTTGAGCTCCTTTGGGACATTCTTTTTTCTCTTTTCGGCACACATTTTTCTTTTCCACTCACTACGTAAACTTTTAGCCATTGTTTACCTGAGAAACGCCAGAGCACGCTCACCGCAAAGACTACATATATATTTATAAAATTTATATGTTTGTACTAATAGTTACATACTTTAGAAAATGCATAAAATAGGACCAGGGAGAAGGCTCAGCAGACGAAAGCCCCTGCTTAGGTAAGCCCAGGGACCGCATTTTGGTTCCCAGCACCACATGCCACGCCAGTCCCACCCACAGGCACACTGAGCTGGTGACCAAGTCCAGGTATGGTGGCAACGCCTGTAATCCCAGCACAGGAGAGGCTGAAAACAGGAGGATCACTATGAGTCCAAGCTGCAGAGTGACACCTTTTAACGACCAAATACATTTTTTAAAAAAAGTAAAATGCATAAAATACAAGGATAGCAATTTATAATTCTAGGTATATTGATAAATATAAACAAGGGCACTTGGGTGGTGCCTGCCTATAAACCCAGAACTCTGAAGGCTGATGCTGGGAGATCCCTGCAAGTTTGAGGCCAGCCTGGGCTACAGCCTGTTCAAGACCTGTTTGACCTACACAGGGACAGCCAGGCTCAACCACTCAGTCAATCAGTAAATAAGAATGAAAGGAAGTACAAAAATTCATACATGTAAGTGTAAAATATAATATAAATTGTAGTTAAATATCGACAACCCTTTGTGAAGCCTGTAGGTCTCCTTTGTAGTAAAAACTTATAAAAAATATTTTAGAGGTACTAAAATCAGTGAATTTCTTTCTTTTTTTGTATTTAGGACAGAGTGTATAGGGTACAGGGTCTCACTGAGTAGATGGGACTCCCAGTGATCCTCCTGTTCTATAGCCTCCCATGTGTTGGGATTATAGGCATGCACCACCACACCCTGTCTCCAGCACGCACTGGGGGCGGGACCGGCACAGCAGGCCAGGGGATCAAACTCCTGGGCCCTGTGTCTGACTAAGCAGGCGCTTTAATCTGCTGAATTATTTGGCCAGCCTTGAATTTTTTTTTTTTTATGAGCAGAATATATTTATTTTATTTATTTTTTCTTTTGGCAGAACCGGGGATTGAACTCAGACCCTTGCACTTGCCAGGGAAGTGCTTATTCCACTGAGTCTCTCTGGCCCCCAGAGCAGAGTATATTTATTAAGAGAAAGAAAGCTCCTGTCCCTCTCTCGGGACAGGAGGGGGGGCCGAGTGGGTAGCTCCCCGGGAAACTGTCTCTTCCAGGGATTTTTATAGTGTAAAACCATGCCGGGCTAAGGTGGAGAGAATGGGAACTCACTTAGGTGGGCAGGAGGTGGGACAAAACTATGGTCAACCAATGGGGTTACAAGCACCATTGCTCAGGTAAAACTAATTAAATCGAGTATCAAATGGGAAAGGGAGTCACACAGCAAGTGGGCATAAATAATGAACAGGGTCTCTTCCTGTTGGGGGATGAGCTAGTGATTCATTTGGGCTCTTTCAAGTTGATTGATACTATTTAGAATATCAATCCCTAATGCCCATCCCTAGGGAAGTATGTAGCTGTGCTTCCTCTTTTTGTCTTGGTCTTGAGGTGTGGCCCATATGGGAGTGTCTGTCTCTTCCAAGTCGGCCCTGAATTTCTCAATCTGAATGACAGATGTGTAATTTCTAGCATCACAAGTATGACATTTGCTTGGAAAATTGGAGCATACTTATTAAACTCCCAGCGCTTAGTTGGCTGTGGATGGAGAACTGCTGCAAATTCAAGCCAGCGTGGGCAACACAGTGAGTTCAAGGCCAGCCTGAGCCATATAGGAAGACCCTGTCTCAAAATAAAAAAGAACAACACCGAAAAAAATCCCCAAGTATGATATTATGTGGTTCTGAGAGTGGACATCTATAATCCTAGTGCATTCTTGGCCAGCCTGGGCTCTGTAGAAAGACCCAGTCTCGCCAAGAAAGTATCACTTCAGGAAAACGTGAATTGATAACAGATGTAGCCACTCTTTAGTTAGCAAATATCATTTGCACCACGTGTTCAACTTAATTTTTCCATGCAGTATGCAGTGGCATGGTGGGAAACACTGCAGTTCCTGCTACTCAGAGCGCTGCAGGGGCAGTAGGACAGTTTGAGCCCAGAGTTTGAGATTAGCCAAGGATAATTTGAGACTAGCAAAATCCTGTCTCAACAGGAAAAGTAAAGAGAAAGCAGTTGTCTGGGGTGTGGTCAGTGGTAGAGCAAGTGCTTAGCACTCCTGAGGTCCTGGGTCAAAATATATCAAGGGATTTTGATGGAAGAATTTCAGGAATTCCAGAAGTTTGAAAGCTTCCGGCTACATTGAAAGGAAAATTGGGTCAGCTTTGAAAAGGCACCACCATTCCCAGGTGTGGTGGTGTGTGCCTGAAATCCCAGGACTGGGAAGCTGAGGCAGGAGGATCATGAGTTTAAGCAAGATCTCATCTCAGAAAACAAACAAACAACTAAATAAATGAATAAATAAATGGGTCAAGTGGGCCAGCACATGACTATAATCCCAGCTGGAGGATCATGTCAGAGTCTCGCAAACAACGACCCTAGCTAGGCAACCTGGCCATTGAGACTGTCTCACAAAAAAGTGAATGTTTTTGTTTTCTGGAGATAGAGTCTTGCTGTGTACTTCAGGATGGCTTTGGACTCCTGCATAACCCCGGCTGGCTCGACTTCAGGCAATCCTATTGCCTTGTCCTCCCCAGTGCTGTGACTACAGACACGCTATGCAGTGTCTCGGTTGAAAAACAGCTCAGCATGTAATGCACTTTCAAAGTCTTGGGATCATTCCCAGTACTACAAAAATAAAATAGAAGCCTAAAAAAAGTTGACAGGGGCCAGTGAGATAGCTCAAAGGACAAAAGCACCTGTTTAGGGAGGTGCAGAGATCAGGGTTCAATCCCCGACCTGCCACTCTGCCTCCAGCCCCGCCCCCAGGGTGCACTGTGATGGTGACTGAGACTGGGCGTGGTGGTGTGCACATGTAATCCCAGGGCTTGGGAGGCTGAAAATAGGATGATCAACAAGGAGTCTGATCTATGTACTGAGACCCTGTAGACCCTGTACTAAATGCTTAAAAAAAAAAAATGATGAGAAACCATAAAAAAATCATCAAGAAAACTATTTGAAAGGTAGATTAATATTCACTGTTATGAATAGGATTCTTTAAGGTACATGGAAATATTTGCTAACAAATGCGCTACAGATACACACACAGTTTGTAAGTACACAGGCTACCACAAGGAAACGGCGAGGCTTCTGGCAAGTTTGGAAACCCTTGCTGTAATCTAGAGAACACATTCTGCCAGGTGAACCCGATCCCTGGCACAGAGCCAGCGGGTGCAGTGCTGTCACGCTTTACTGAGCAGGCTGTGCCGTGAGCAGTGCTGGGGACACTGCGCTCCATGCCTCCAGCCCTTCCTGGCTCCATCCTTGTCCATTTCGGGTTGAACAGATCAAGCCGTTGGTCGCGCACGCTCTGCAC